CACAGAAACAGTATATTGCTATGTGACATCATCAACTGTAGCAATAATGATAAAATTAAAGATAGTAACAATAAAAATAAACATTTTTAATGTTTAATGAAATGTTTTAATAGTTTTACCTTAAAGGAGAGGATGCAGCCAATGAAGAGCAGGACTGCGAAGACTAGGCACATGTTGTTGGTGGACATGATGTCCTCTTTGTACGGGAATGTCCCCGGCTAGGAAAGAAAACCAGAACAACAGGAGGTCGTTTTCAAATGAGCCGCCGACTAAAACTTGACCCCTCGATCTTCGACAGTCAAGGAGCGGACCCCAAATCTACATGACTAAGACTTTTACTCATGCCTGGGTGGTCTGGTTCCACTGTGTCACCCAACAGATGCTTCAGCGAGGCGCTGAATCATGAGCAGCCGTCAGCAACAGTGAGCCAGTTTGTTTTAAACTTGTAATAACTGTGATGTTTGGTCAAAGAACTCCAAACTTGACTTTACAGTTCAGATTAGGTATTTAAATCGGAATGAAGCGGTCCTCACCAGCTGCTGGATGTAGTCCTGCACCGTGTTGGGATAAACCACCACGCTGATGGCTACCAGGGTGTTCAGGGCAAAGTCAAAGATTTGGTAGCAGAAGAATGGAATGATCCAAGCGGCGTGTTGCTATGAGTGGACGAGATTAGGATTAGACAATTTAAAAAAATCTATATATTTATATATACGTTTTGCGTGTTTACCTTGTAAGCACCATAAGTCGCCATGCCACATATAAGAATCATGAGCAACGATATTGCYGTCGCTATGCAGATATCTGTCAAAAACATAAAAATAAGACAAACAAAACAATAAAAAAAMCAGTTTAAAACAAATATCTATTGTTTTTTACCATTTTTATTACAGTCAGATGTAATAAGGGAGGTAAATATGACAAAAAGCTCCACAGGGGACGTGGATTCTCACACAAGTCGACTTAAGTAATCTCAGCATTTCTAGCGCGCATGAACAGAACATAATCAACAATGTTACGCAAGAGGTGCTAAATTTGACTAAACCTCACGTCTCACCGATGAGACACTTTTCACTGTCAGAGATGCACTCAGAGAGATGTGAAGTAAAAGCTGCATTATTAAATGAAAACTTTATATAACCTGTGCATTAGATGTTTTTATGTTTAAACAAAAACAGTTGTTTTTTTTTTTACAAAGGGCAAACAACATTTGACCGCTGCAGCACAAGCATAAATGCCACATTAGGCGGAGAGAGAGTTAGTCAACATGGCCGTTTTAATCCGAGAATTAGAGCAGTCGTTTATAATCAGCTGCCAGTGACGGCGTCTGAAGCCTTCCAGAGGCGACCCTGATGATGATGATGATGATGATAGCTGCTGCAGGGGGAGCRCTGAAAATACGCACACACTCCGGTTTGTTCTCTGTGCTGCTTAGCTTACTCAGCTGTGCCTGAGCTGAGGGCAGCATTTTCAGACAGTAAGACGTGTCGGGCACAAAAGGGAAGTGATTTTACAGCTGCAGACATGTGGACGAATACAGAACGCATACGGAACATAATTACTCAGGCAGAATCTTCGTAAAAGTCTGACCCGCCGATGCCAAATTCAGCCGTTTTAGGTTTTTCTTTAAGTATAAATGTGAGCATAATGAGTATCCCTGTTTTTGTAAGAGAATTTGACTGTGTTTGTTATAAAACAAGCTTTTCATCTTTAAGAATAGGACACTTTTTCTTGATAAAAGCTTCTTTTTTAAAAAATCATTGCATCAGTTTTCAACACAAAACTGGGAAAMATTAAAATGTAATTTACTGTTTGTGTTAGATTTATAATTCATTTATTAATGTTTCTGTAGCTGCAAGTATTGAGTTTTTATTTATATTAATCCCTGGTTTGAAAATTACTGTTGGGCTTAAACACATMACCTGTTTAAGACAATAAAGCAGAAAGCAGAAATTCATGTTTTTAATTTTTTGTAGCTGTTTACATTTCTTGCATTTCACTAACTTTAATTTTTAGCACATTACAGGTATTATAATAAGTTATTTTTATTTTACTGTTATTTAACCAGGCCAATCCCACTGAGATCACTGATCTCTTTTTCAAGGGAGGCCTGGGCTTGAAGGCAACTTATTGTACATGTTTTGGGCGTTTTACATTCTCCTTGCTTAGGTTCTGCACAGAAGATGGTTTTATTAGGGAGAATAATCTAATAGCAAGGTGTGTTTAAAAAATTGCAAAAAATTAAATTATTATAAGGTTTTTGAGATACAAGCTGAAAACTGCAGTCATACGTCACATCATTTAAATGCTTTTAACAGGTCTTATTGTTTCTACTCTCAGCAGCACATTGATTTGATTTGATTTATTGATTTAACAGGAAAAGATTACTAAAAAATCAAGCCTGACTCAGCATAATTGCTGTTTTACAGCAGGTTCCTGTTCTGCAGCACATAAAACACTCAGAATTACAGCA